GTCAGATTAACGCAGACAGCACTAATAATATAAATTGCTCATGCAGCTAACACTAGCAGGCTTGGCTGGAAAAATGTGTAAGCAACAGCACCTGTCACTCAAATAGGCCACGCCCCTAATGATGCAAACTTTAAACCTATAAACAGTCGAGCAATTATAACAGGTTATACAATGCTCAAGAGTTGGGAGTTCGCCTTGTAATCGGAAGGTTGCCGGTTCGAGCCCCGGCTCGGACAGTCTCTGTCGTTGTGTCCTTGGGCAAGACACTTCACCTACCGCCTACTGGTGATGGCCAGAAGGGGCGAGGGCAGCCTTGCTTATGTCAGTCTGCCCCAGGGCAGCTGTGGCTACAACTGTAGCTGCCTCCACCAGTGTGTGAATGGGTGGATGACTGGGTGTGTAAAGCGCTTTGGGGTCCTTAGGACTAGTAAAAGCGCTATACAAATACAGGCCATTTACCATTATAACCATGTTTATTTCTTCTGTAAAGGTTTAACATGGGAGTCTATGAGGTCTGACTCGCTGCTGGAGCCTCTGCTGGACGTCAGAGGAACTGCAGTGTTAGTGACATTTTTCATGTTTGACCCTTGAAGTGAATCCAGTTCATGAAAACAAATAAAACCTATATCGTGCTTTCACAGACTGACGGTACAGTTTCATGACGCAACTGTCTCCCCACAGAGACAGCAGGATGTCACCGAGGCGGTCTGATCCCCGGTCATGTCTCTGTGCTGAGCAGCTGCAGCTCTTTCCCAGAGCAGAGACCCTGTGGACAGACAGCCCCGTGTCCCTATTGTGTCAAGCTGTGTTTGAGCTGACGTGAAAAAGCACAGGGGCCAGCAGAGTGCCAGGTCAGTTTACCTCACACATCACCTCACAGCTCGCTCCAAGGACGAATCAAACCACTGACGAGCCTCGTTTCCAGGAGCACGGAAAGCTCAGCGTCGTCTCAGTGGGAATAAAAGCAGATTCCATCTTTATGAAGAGCCTATTTAGAAAAAGCTTAAACCCCGACTTTTCCTCCACTCACACTGAACGAGGGAGCGTAAGAAGCTTAAATGCTCCATTCAGTCATTAAAATGTGACTGGAGAAGTGTCTGCACACCTGAACTTGTGACCCTGAACACTTTAAGGATCACTTGTCTGTCCACCCACTGCAGGAACATAACCCCGACTGTCAGCATCAACCCCCGGCCAGGCAGTCACCCCTGCAGCTCAGCTCAGATGTTCTAAGATGACTTTCAATCAGCTGCTCTGCTGATCACAGATCATCACCATCAGACAAACCGAGTTCGTCCTCAGATAACCTCAGAAAACATGCTCAGCTCAGCCAGACAGAGAAAAAGCAGTAAAATCAGAGGGATAATTTCAGAATAAAAGCACCTCCTTACCTGGATTCCTCATCTCTGGCGATCAGCAGGGACATGTGATTGGAGAGCGAGGCCGTCCTTAAGATCTCCACCGCCCTATCAGGGAGCAGAATTGAGCAGTAAACATTACCAGCGTGTGATGGAAGATAAAGAGTCCATGTGTGAAACTCAAGGACATCTCTGCCTGGCGGAAACGTCCTCTGTGGACCTGTTGGACAAATAGACTGCAGTACCACCGACAGCCACTAGATGCTGACAGCAACTGACTCGAGCCCAAAAGTCTTTGCTCCTACTTAAAAGTTCAAAACAACTTTAGTATCTGTCGTGTGGCCGATGATCGATAGCTGTGAAAGTCGTTCCATCTGCGACTTTCGAGCCTCTGTTTAAAGAATGAAACTGATTTTTAAGTTTAACTGGAACTGTGATACTTGGTTATCATCAATGTTTATGACGTTGGTGTCTCCAGCTAATAAAAACCATACTTCAGCAGGTAGTACCATCCAGTGTCAGTTTTGACCAGTAAGTTTCATCATCGACATTTTTTCTGATGAAAACAAGATGATAACAAAATAAAATCTAATCACAAGGACACAAACTGTGATGAATCAACACTCTGTCAACGAATAAATATGAGATAAAAATATTCTGGAGAGACAAGATCCAATCAAAACTGATTCAGCTGAGCAGAAAGGCGGGACGAGTTTGGAAGTTATCCAATGAGAAGTAATCTCCTGGTGCGACGAGGTTAGACCTGCATTTAGTCTTCAGTCGCCTGAATCAACTTTAGATTTAGTCAGCTATAATCAAAGTTTGCTCTCAGAATGAACACTCGGGCTGCAGTTTAAATTATCTGCAGTGTTTACATGTGAAGGTGAGGCTATTGTCTGTCATAGACAAAAATCAGGAACAGGAAACTGCTGCGTTAAGCGGTCGTGCTAAACATGACATAAAAAACATGAAATAGAAAACTTCCTGTTTTCCTTATTTCCTGCACATTAACTGCAGTTTCTCCCTTAAAAAAACAGCAGGGAGTGTTTCTATAGGTCACCTGTTCAAATTGCACTAAGGCTTGTAGTTGCATCATTAGGGGTGTGGCCTCTTTGAGTGAAGGGTGGATGGTGACACAGGCGGCTGTAGCTGCTAGCTGTCTGCTAGCTTCACCTGAACTGGACCTCTGGACCGTGTTTGTGCTGTCGGAGCCTTTTTAATGACATCATGTGACCAATAATGTGGCTGCTGTGAGGTCACTGTATTAACAGCTTTGGTGCAGTACATGTTTATTTTGATGTTAGCAAGATTAGCAAGTATCTGTGTCTATGGTCCCATACACTAACTCAGGTTCAAAAGGGAGTTTTTCCTTCCCACTGTCTCCAAGTGCTTGCTAATAGGAGGTCATGTGATTGTTGCTGTTGCTTTCTCTGTATTATTGTCTTAATAAGTCTTATTTAATAGTCTTCATTTCTTAATTTATAAACTAAAGAGCATTGAGGCGACTGTTGTTGTGATTTGTTGCTATATGAATAAAACTGAACTGAATTAGATAAAGTAGCTGATAACACTCCACCCAGATAAGGTCATTTTTACTCAAAAATGCCAACATGTTGATGACCTTAAAGCAGATGTTGAGGCTGCAAAAGTTCACGTGCAGCATTCACATAAAGTGTGATGGACACCAACACTCTGCAGTCCATGCAGCTTCACAATTCAAACAGTGCAAATAAACAAGTGATGTGAGACCGCCATGCTGCATTTTCTAAAATACCTCAACAGTGAGACTCACCTCTCATTGGTCACCCCTATCAGGCTGATGTTATTGACATCCAAAATCAGGTCACCTGACTTAAGCCGACCTGGAACAGAGAGTGACAGACAGACGGACGGAGAGAAGGCAAAGTGAGGGACGATAACAGTGTCTGTAGTAACCGATCCACAAAAAATACCAGAAGAATAGCTACCATCCAGAGCGGCCAGCCCACCAGCGATCACTCGCTTTATGTAGATACCAAACTCCTCTCCTGTCAGCTCTCTGTAGCCCCCAATTATTTTAACACCTGTGAACACACACAGATGAGCTCCAGTTAAAAAAGAGCCTGGCTTTCAGGCTGTACTGGCTCTTCATCTAGTTGTGACAGGCGATCGCAGCATTTTCAGATGCTGAGCTGCGGCTGAAGGAGGAGCGGTTAATAAGGATTCAGAGGTCAGTAAGGTCGAGGGAAAGATGCTCACCGAGTCCCTTCTTGCAGTCGCAGAACTCCAGCCTCTGTACGGCTCGGCTGATGCCGTGTGGGCCCATGATCGTCCTGGCAACAAGCAAAAACACAACAGATTTAAACACATATCAACATCCTCCCTCAGCCAAAGCCCCTCTCGCTCTGTTTCCTCAGAGCGCCGCTGCACAAAATAATCAAATCATCACAGGATTTTGGCATTGTCTCCCTCTCTCCCTCCCACCTCCACCCGGCTACGTCCAACCAATAAAATCTGTCGCCTCCTAAACGACGAGGCGGTTGAACCATGTGGCGACCTGGATGTTTGGAGGCTCAGGCGAACACAAACAGTGATTAGAAATAATCAAAGGAACATTACGGAGCAGTTGTTTTGTTTTTCTGCTGAGAGATTTGTGGGTGAGAAGGTTTCAGATTAAAGCTGAAGAGACTCCGACGTGGTGAACATGATCCTGCTGTCTGCTGGTCGTTCTCAAGTCTCAGCTCAGAGTCAGCACAGAGTCAATTTGAGCGGCAGTTTGAGTCACATGCTGGTGTCTGAGCGTTTCAAAGGTTCGTGTAGAGGCAGCAAAGCCTGTCATGGACAGACTGACATGAATACTCGAGGCTGGGCCCAGAGGCTTTTTTAAATCTTTGGGCTCTAAGCTCAGTTTGATGCCTCCCTCAAACGCCGACTTAAGACATCGAAACAGATGCTGTGTCAGTTTTATGGGAGTAGCAACAAGAGAGAGCTGATCCTTTAATTTGGGTTCACTTACACTCAAAATAATCATGCTGACCACTTCCAAAAATAGCGAATGAAAGGTCACATGGTGCATCTGCTGTTTTTCTCTCTCTCTCTTTAGTGACACACATCTCTGCAGATGACACGTTTTTTCATACAGCGGTCATGCAAAGGATCCAGTTAGTTCTTTGTGTATTATATTGCCCCCTTGAGGACTGACAATAATCACTTCCACCTAAAAGTCTTCAGAGGTCTACTGGATTAAAACCAAGCACCAAATAAATTCTGCAACTTTACCTGGAAGGTCTTTTTTTAGGTTAGGAAAGGTTAAGGATACTGTGCTTCTCTGTTTCATTTAAACTTAATTTACCAACCAGCTGCAAAGAGAAAGCTTTTCATACATATGTTGATTTAACAGTCATGTTTGCAGTTTAGATGGTTAGGTGGATGTTTGGATGGTTGGTTTGTTGGATGGAAGGTTGGATGGTGAGGTGGATGGTTGGCTGGATAGTTGCATGGTTGGATGGTTAGTTGGATGGCTGGTTGGCTAGATGGATGGTTGGATGGTTAGGTGGATTGTTAGGTGGTTAGTTGGATTGTTGGTTGGATAGTTGCATGGTTGGATGGATGGTTGGATGGTTAGTTGGATGGTTGGTTGGATAGTTGGATGGTTGGATGATTAGGTGGATGGTTGGGTGGTTAGGTGGATGGTTGGTTGGATATTTGGATGATTAGGTGGATGGTTGGATGGTTAGTTGCATGGTTGGATGGTTGGATGGTTAGGTGGATGGTTGGTTGGATAGTTACATGGTTGGATGGTTAGTTGGATGGCTGGTTGGCTAGATGGATGGGTGGATGGTTAGGTGGTTAGTTGGATGGTTGGTTGGATAGTTGCATGGTTGCATGGTTGGATGGATGGTTGGATGGTTAGTTGGATGGTTGGTTGGATAGTTGGATGATTAGGTGGATGGTTGGTTGGATAGTTGGATGATTAGGTGGATGGTTGGATGGTTAGTTGCATGGTTGGATGGTTAGGTGGATGGTTGGATGGATGGTTGGGTGGTTAGGTGGATGGTTGGTTGGATAGTTGCATGGTTGGATGGATGGTTGGATGGTTAGTTGGATGGTTGGTTGGATAATTGCATGGTTGGATGGTTA